CAAATTGTATTTGTATGGAATGCATACCGATGGTCCGGCGATGCGGAAATAATGGTGCAAATGAACGCGAGCGGCATTAAGGCTAGAGATCACGTCGAACCATAAATCCCAACCCTCGATAGAACAATTAAAAGACGAGTTTAAAACAATTACGCATCGCAGCCCCCGGGCTGCTCGTGACGCGGGACCAAGAATCATAGGCCGGAATTGTTTTATTAAAGTTGTTAATTTTTGTCAGGCCATTGTAGTAGTGAAATTGTAGTGAAGTGCCAACTTGTAGTGAAATCAATAGCTTCATAAATTGATGCTTCGGGAAATTTGTCACCTTCTAGCGTATTATTTGATTACAAACTAGGACAAATTTATTTGCTATCATCAATCACGTCTCAACTTACATCATCGTATCATTTTTCGATCAAATCGCTGGTTAAAATGAACTATTGTTTAAATTTGTTTATTTTGGTAGTACTTAAACAAATTATTTCGAGGTACTGACACGACCCGAGGACAATGCAGTATCTTTTGTTCGATTGGCAGTTTTAATCGAAATCAATTGTTTCGCTGCAATAACTCATAGATTTTAATTGAGTATGTGTATTATTGCTTCGAGCCACGGCCAATATTTATTTATGCATTGGCTATTTTATTGCCAGGATGTACCAGGAAATCATAAAGATTCACGTGTGAACCGCTGATAAAGAATAATTATTTAAAGTTCTCTAGCAACAATATTCACTGTAATAGTATATAAATAAACTATGTAATAAAAAAACAAAACCGACTTCCAAACAAAATACACTGAAAAAAAAACCAAATACACTAAAACCAAAATATTCTCAAAAAAACAGTACACTAAAAAGTAACGAAATAATTCCTTGAAAATAGTAAACCTACCTTATTGTAACTGTTATGTCAATATTGTACAATTATTATTACTGTGATGTCGGTGTCAGCCAAGGTATGCAGTGATACTTCTACGTAAGGGTTTCCACATTTTTACCATAACAATTGACAATTGAAAGTATAGTAACAATTAAGTAATGAATCTACATTGACTGACACCGACTTCAAAGTAATAATAATTGTACAATATTGACATAACAGTTACAATAAGGTAGGTTTACTATTTTCAAGGAATTATTTCGTTACTTTTTAGTGTACTGTTTTTTTGAGAATATTTTGTTTTTAGTGTATTTTGTTTTGTTTTTAGTGTATTTTGTTTGGAAGTCGGTTTTGCTTTTTTATTAAATAGTTTATTTATTTCTCGATTTTTAGTGAATCTAAACATCGCAGTATGATAATCGCTAGCTTTCAAACAAAGTATGAGTTATCTAAGAAATTAATTAAAGAACTAATACATCGTTGCGACCATTCACTCATAATTCTGTCCAGCCGCGCGCCGCTGTTGCCCGTGAGTTTTAATATCTTGATAACTTCTAGAATATTGGTCAGAATTACATACTTTAAAAGGCAATTATGATAGATATATGTTATCGCGGACTTTAATGTAGCTAATTGAAAGAGCTACAATTCTTTCATACATCTTTTTTATGTAGGTCTTATAGTTTAGGCTACGTAAGCCTAGAAAGAAAACTTTGATACAAGTTGGTATTTTTTTCTACGACTCGTAATTTGCTAATTATGATATCTCCTAAACTATTGATCGGAATTACACAGTTCCAAGGGCATTTATAATCTACATTAAATTCTCTTGATGATAGACACATTTATTTGGATAAGGATTCATACCGAACACGAGTAATAGCGTTGAAAGTGGGGTGTAAATTTCGAGCGATATTTTAATGAAAAAAGTGGTTATTGTGCGACAACTTTAATAGATAGATATATGCTATCGCGGACTTTTATTTAGCAAATTTAAAGGGCTACAATTCTTCCATACATCATTTTTATGTAGGTCTTATAGTTTAGGCTACGTAAGCAAAGAAAGCAAAAATGACCCGAAATTTCGTCGCGCGATTTTGAGCTAAACTATTTAACTACGTCGTAGTCTTTGACTCCAAAAATCAAACAAAAAAATGGGACCCACCTGCAAGCATCACCTTTCGGATAAAAAATGAATTATCAAAATCGGTCCACTAGCGGCGGAGTTATGCCGTAACACACATAAAAAAAAATAAAAAAAAAACATACAGACGAATTGAGTACCTCCTTCTTTTGGGAAGTCGGTCAAAAATAAGTTAGATTATGTAATTGTATTACGTAAATAAAGGTAGTGATGATAAATTTTAAGAATATAGATGTTTTTTTTCTACAGTAGCCATTTAAAATAATAAGAAGCTAACGTTATCCATCCACATATAGACTTTATACGTGCGTTATACTCGCAGATCGTCCAGGCAATCTGCATCCCGGTCTGATCCCATTTTAATGGAGCGCCCGGCAAACAAGCTCCGGAGCCGCTTACTGCCAAATCCACTGGGATCCCGTACGCCACTTAGCCCGCTATACTAGATACTATGCATTATAACAAAATTTGTTATGCCAAATGCTTCTTACTGATTCTGTTGCATTTCATACAATGTTGGAACAACAGTTAGAGAAACTAATTATAAAAATATACACTAGAAATTCGTAATTACCTTTACATAACTCGAGGAAAACATTCAAAGCTTAGTGTTTATTGAACAATGCGGAAATAATACGCAGTGAAAAGGCATCGCCATGAATAAAGCGTTCTTGCAGAAATACGTTTGTCATTATTAGTCATCTCAACAAAGACGACAATATATCGGCGGTAATTACATCGGTAATGAGCGACGTGCTTCTCAGCGACATCTTTTGACGCCGCACAATGCGCCTCGCGAAAGTCGCAACTCTACTCGAATTATAAGCCTGATAAATACAAACTACCAGAAGGCGGCATGCGTGCATCCTATGCTCGGTATATTTTCACACGTTTAAATGGGAATTAATCCGGCATTGTGCGGTTGGCGGTCGGCGCGCGTTAATATTTCGCTCGGTATTGACAATACGCTCGCAAGTGTTTGATTCATTAGCCGCAGGCGAACGACCGCCGGATAAAGGACCAGCATCCCTTCATTCGTTCCACAGACGCACCTCCGTTGACCCGCTCGCTAACGACTCCGCGCATAATGAACGCATTGAGAGAGATTGCCGGCTCCTCGACCCCCGCCCCGCCCCCGCTCCCACTCCGCACAAACACACGATTAAATTTTACCGTCTGACCCCTTGACCATTGTGCAAAAATCGGTAACCCACATAAACGCCGTAAAATAAACAAGAGCCATTCGGCCTCGATAGCTCGTCGCGTTGAATAAATGATACTCGATTTGTCTTCCTTAACAGGTAGATTTTTAAAATGAGGAAATTGTTATTCATGCAAATCTAGCTTTACACGAGCAGAAATGGAATCCTAAACGGGAGCCTCATAAATAATCGAACCCGGCCTCCGGTCTACATAATGTACAAAAACAACAACGCGGAAGTAATATTCCTAAAATTATTTGTAGTTATGTTTTACTATTGCACATTGCTCTAATGCTCTATTGCGCCATATCCAAATTATGTTTTCTATCTCTCTGATCCTAATGAAAGCTTACTGCATTGCAAAATTATTACGTAACATCAAACGGTTTATTGTTATCGTAATTTTATTGCGTACTGTTCTGTGCATAGTTGTACCGCAGTATTCATCACAGTAATTCGCTAAGTTTACAATCCATAAACATCAGCCGGAACAATTCTGAGTAAACACAAATGTATCGATTTTTTTTCGGTTTTCAGATTCAGTTTGATTGCATTAAAATAATGTATGCGAATAAAGTTTAGAAATATGTGTCATGGGGGCATCTACTCCTATGTCTTATGTTCCAGAGTAATCGACGTAATTCAAATACAGATTTATAACTGACGCATTTCTTCCTACATCAAATATTCAGAATAAGAATCGCGCATGATTGGCTGTATAAATTATGAAAAAGTGATGGAATAATGTGTTTTAAACAATCTATAAGGCCAACATTATGAATGAGTTAGGCATTGAAAATTTTCCACGATTTGTATTCCGTCTGGAGAATTCGCGTCGTCGGATCCCGTAGTTCCGATGCAGGTTATTTTAAATGTAAAGACGGCGTATTGCATAATCACCGGCGTGATTCGCTATCAGCGTTCGCTCGGTACTAAATATTTATTTACTTTGGCTTTTTTACGATACTTTTTAGCGGCTCATCGTAAAAATGCTTTTTGTGTCTGTTTTATAATCATCTTATTGAATTATATCTTGTTTTACAAGTCTTACAATAATTTCATAGGTATTGATTTTGTAATTAAATTTTATGTTTAAATATAGGTATGAACGCTTTGATCTCCCTTCGAAAATTAGTAATGTCTGCGACTCGACGCCGATATCGTTAAATATAATGGTAGTCTGTAGGAGGCCTGCCGTTACATACAGTCCCTTGACGTTCTTTTCACTGACGTCGCGAGTCGTCTTCGATTTTAATATGAATACAGATCGTGCATTAATTAAGCTGGCCTGATGAGGTTAGCTGCGTCTCGCTCGCGCGGCCGCCATGTCATTACCGCTGCATGTAGACGCGAGAGCCGCCTTTTTTTAATTCGTTATTATTCCATGGCGTAAAGAAATGTTAATTTGAGGCGGCGTGAAATTAACAGCCGCTGCTGCCCTTTGTGTGTCCGCTGCCGCTGACTTAAACACACAACGGGTGACGAGCTATGCCCCTTTCGTACTACTCGTAGTCTCTTATTTGCACTGGACCGTTCTTTTTATGCGCTTTCATTAGCGACCCGATCGCGAGTTGTTAAACATTCATTTACGATTAAGTTACGAATGTTGTTTTTGTTTTATGTCGTTAAAGTTGTTAGAATAAAGAATAGAAGGATAAATTTAGTATTTGAAAATCAGTCATCAATCATTTTGGTGTCGACCAAACCACAATGTTAACATTGGTGATGATAAAACCACATGATCAGATTTAAACAGTGATCTTGTATTCCAGTGGTACCAAGTAGACAAGACCCGCCTGAGCGAAGACCTGAAGAATAAATTCGTGCAACTTGATCCTGACGAAGAGACCAAGGAGTTTCTCTCAGCCTCCATCGACAAGTCCTCGTGGGTGTGGACACAGATATGGTACCTGCTAGCTAAAGCCGTCCTCAGGCATTTCTGGTCTATCACCGACATTAATGGGTAAGTAGACTTTAGTATCCTAAGTAAGTAAGTTAGTAATTTCAGTTATTATTAGTAGATAATATCAGCACTGCGACTTAAACTACTACTATTGAAGATAATTTTATAGAATAGACCATAAATGTATCTAGATGGATAATGCACTATTCCTGTTATGTATAAGGTTTGCTTTTATACAGCTTCGTTCCATTAGCCTTGTGGTAATTCCTTCTAAATTTCTATAAGGCTTTTCAGCGAAAGCTGTTAAGGCACTGCGAAGCATTTTCCATCTAACATTTTTTCTAATATCTACGTTATAACGGAAATGTATAAAATTCGCTTTAATTCAAACATCCAATGTCGATGATACTACAAATTTAATTACTTTTAATTAGGATTGTGGTAAAAAGATATCATGGACGATGAAGCGTGTCAAATTGTGCAGGGTGCGCCGTTGCCGCCGCCTTTGTTGCATTCATTTCATTTCAATAGAATTATTTAGGAACTATGCGGAATTACTAATCTAGTATCACTGTATAGTACATTATACCTGTAATATCATCATCGTCTTCCCGACTTTATCCTACTCCCGTAGGGTTGGCACAACGGTTTTCGTCTTCCAGATGAATCTACCCTCATCTCAGTCGTTACTACTTCCTTTTTGGTCTTTTTCATCTTTTACGAAATCCATCCATCTTTACGTTCAACTAAGAATTCTATTTCTTTCGATTAATATGAAAACATACTACATTTCTTAAGTGGTAACTAATTCTAATTATCGCCCCAAAGTGAAATGAATGCGAAATATAAATAAATGGTTAACACAAATATCAACCGTAAAAGAAGTTACGCCACGAACGTATTCTAGTTAATGATATCCCGGTGGGAAATTAAGTCGTTTAGTTCTCGTTTCCTCTACGTAGGTGTTCGCCTTTGAATAAAGAAGTACAAACTTAGGCGCATGTACTCGTATATCGCGGTTAAATAAAAAGCTTGTACTAATTTAAAAGAAAATGATTCATTTCTTTTTTAAAAGATGAGTTGCCATTTGAATCACGACAATGGGCCATTATTAAGTGCGTCCAGATTTGTCCAATTACGCCAATTACAATGTCCCGGTAGCCGTAAGTACATGCGAGTGTATTATTTCCTCATCCATTGTGTCGTATCTGCACAAATTAACTAATCCGACTCACTGCTAGTTCTGTGCGATACTCGCGCCCCGACTTATCGATAAAATCGCCACTTGTAGGTAATGGAAAATGTTTCCGTGTCAGCCAACAGTATCATTTATTTGAATCTACCAGCTACGATTTTTGCGGTAAACGTGCCAAATAAAAATGTTTCCGAGTCGGAGCTGTTTATCGCACTTAAAACAATTTGTGTGTTTGTTTTAGTCGACAGCTCTACAAATTTACTTGCCTTTTGTAGTTCTTCCATTATTATGATTTACTTCTTACGATTTGGTCTGTAAATAAATGAATCATTTTTAACTAATTTAATTTGTATTTGACTGGTCATCGCTATTGATTTTATTATCTTTTTAAATATTTATTTTTCAAAAACAAATTGGTAAAAATGCAATTGCTATCTCATTCTTGTTACCAATTTAGCAATCTCTTTATATAACATGACACCATAAACAAATAACGATTTAAAATTGTATTTTCACATTAAAGTTGTCGATATCGAGTGATGTGTTCGTGCACGGCGCTGTGTCGCGTCCGCCAGCGCTGTGAACGCTTGCTGCAAGCGATCGCGTCGGGTGTCTATAGCGGACCACTAATAAATAATTTAAATAAATTGACGGACGAGATTTACTCATTGGCTGTTTCCGTCTCTCAATTACGCTTTATTTATCACTTGCTACTCGTCAAACGAAGTCTCTCGAGCCTCTAATACCCCCGGCTATAGGTGCGACAGATAACGCGCTGCGCGATTCGATTGCCTGTGAATACATCTCAATATGTTTCACAATTATTGTAAATGAAAATAAATGTTGTAAACAAATATATACTTTAAAAAAAACAACAAGAACAAGATCGATTAATAATTTCAACTTGAGAATAATTGATTCTTCTCACAATCAACGCTAAAGACTAAGGTTTCGAGTTCTCCCTTTGCTTTATTCGCGCTTTCCTTCTCTACCATGATTTTATAGGGTAGTTCCCAACGGCGAGAGATGACATACAAAAGAAACAATGTTTGATTGGATATGTACACTAACAAATGACTAGAGGCCAGGAAGTATTTGTACTGATGTTCCAACTCCCCCTTAAACCAAATATCCGGGATATTAATCATTGCGCCTATGGCTACGATAAATGACTCAATAAACGCTCAAGCCGAACGCTATTGACTTTTCCGGTGTAAACCGCTCAATTAATGTATATTCAATAAACAATTTGTTTTTACCGACGGCCACATTCAAGTTGCGTTACAGATCACATATGATAGATAAGAATGACATATTTCCGGAGCTTCTCATTGGCGCTTAAGATTAAATTGATTTATATTAAATAAAAAATGTGTTAACGTATCGTCTGTTTTAATGAAATCATGTTAAAGATTGAAGCGATCCAAATTATAATGCATGTATTTTAATTGAAGGAACACATCAATTTGGGCAATAGCAAAGCCTACTTCACATGCCAAACTTTATGAATATAATTCAAATGAATTTGCAAAAACAGTTACAATACGTAGGAATGTATAGTATTGGCAACATTTTAAAATAAAAGAGTATATTCGATTAAGATTTTCATCATCATCATCATCAACTTGCCCTTATCTCTTGATGATGGAGGGTCGTCACAGTATGTGCTGCTCTTCCATACATCTCTATCAGCCGTCATATCTGAATCCACTCCTTAAGCATATCCTTTTTCACACAATCCATCCATACTTTCTTCGGTCTTCCTCTTCCCTTGTAGCCATCCACATTCTTAACACTTTCTGGTTTATGTCCCCGTCGTCATTCATTGACATATCTGCATTAAATAGCACACGAATCATTTTAATAGGCGTAATGATGAATCAATTAAAATTTATTTGAAATCATAACTTGCATTGTCCGTCATAATTACAATAAATTAAACAATGCTTTTCAATCAGCGCGGTCGTGATTGCTCGTTGTCGCTAACCAATAAATTACCCAAATCAATTGGCGATGTTCTCGACATGCTTTAACAACATCTTTTACCATTAATAAACTTTTAAAGAGGTTTAAACCGGATTTAATTTAGTGGTTATTATCAACTAAGGTAAAAGACAGATTACATATAAAGTTACGGTTTAGTCGAATTTACAACATTTGAAATGTTGACAGTTTGTTTTTTGCATGTGCCAGTGAAAAAAAAACTAGCATAATTTGTTGTAGTGAAATTCAAATTAACCGTGTTCCGTTTATATTGTTTGTAACTGTTTGCCAATTCTATGATGCTGGTTAACATCTGAATACTTTAGTTACTAAAGTTTATTTCTAATCCAATTTTTTCTTGATAACAATAGCAGTAGCATTTAAAGTCTCATACTGTTATCAAACTTAGGCTTGGTCGCAAAAGCAAATGCAATGACAATAAGTAATTTGTGCATTTATCGAGCTACATGACAAAGATCGATTGGCTATTGAGGCGCGCCACACCACTCTCGGATTTTATAGTCACTCAATCAGGTCGCTGCAAATTACACATGCACTCGGCGAAATTTATCCGAAACATGCTTACTTTGGACAATAATTAACTTGTTCTAATGTAATATTTGTGCATTGCTATATTATTTTAACAAGTTTATCTAATTGTACAGTCGATCGCAACTAAGATGTAACAAAAACGCAAATCGGCATTCGCCAAAAACTTGAAATCAAAGCAATCAAACCGGACGAGGCAATGAAAGACTTTGCAAATATTAAATTATCACAACAGGTCGTCACTCGCACCTTAAAATAATGCATGGTAATTAAAAAGCAGTAAAATTTATATTGGCCGCGATGGTATCAGGTAGATTTGTCGGTTTGTACCATGTCCTGCGGCATGAGGGGCAACTAACTAATTATTTGAGCATTGGCATCGTAAAAAGGTCCGAAATGCCTCAATAAATGCAAACATGTCAGTAAATGTCCCGACCCGAGCATTACCTCGATTGTTATTCGGAACTTTAATCACCACGACCCTTTTAAAAGGTGCAGATTAATAACGAATATCATCGCTTATAATTACACTCTTCGTCACTGCAAAATTATATCGGTTTTTATATCCCTTCTCACTGTGGTTTTTATGTCTCCCGATACGTACATGACGTTTTACAACTGTATAAACTAATATGTTTATAGTATCTGTCACATTTCAATTAACTATTGGTTACAGAATGTCATTTTTATTTTATGGTATCAATATCGGGTTTAACTAATGGCAACTCAAGCTGATTATCCAACACAAACTTAGCATAGCAGATTTGTATTTAATTAAACCATGTTCGAATTTGTAGTTATTGTTGTTTATTATCTAATGTATGTAGTTTCATTTCTGTTTAGCTGTTCTTTACTAATTCGTCAGTTACATTCGGATACATATGATCTCATTTCCAAAACAAATATTGTTATTTTTATATTGTTATATTTAAGGTGCGTGTAACCGTGTGGTCCCTATTCCAAGGCGGTCGCTACCTCTCAAGCGGGCGAACGCGATCGTTCGATAGTGTACCATTAGCGCGAAGAGTCGCGCCGGCGTCCAATTGTGCGCTTAGATATCGCATACAAATGTCGATCGGTCGCCGCTCGCGCGCTTCGGCCGCTCCTCGCCCGCTCATCTGCATTCAATCCCATTGTTGCCTTTATTATTGGATGCGCTTAATCGCTAATTTATGAATCCGACTGACGCAGCCAGATCTAATCTCTCCGTCACTCTTAATGGTTTACGATATTTTCCTAAGGAAAGTTTTTAACTAGTGTTAAAATGATTAAAAATAGTTTTGCCAAATTGTCTGCCCTTAGTGTGCAATTGTAATGAAATATGACATTTATTAGACTGCCAACATGTGTAAAATAGGTTAAACGTACTTCTAATACGTATCTATAAAATGAGTTAGTTTACCAAAAATATCTTTGTAAAATGTAAACTATTTAGTTGGTGTGGTTATATAAGGTATTGTTTCTTTAAACTCATTAGCGAATTTCAAATACAATTCCTTCCTTTAAGAGGTGATGGTAAGAAATATATTGCTTAATT